GCTACAGGTCAAGATACAGATCAAGGCGATTCAAAATACAGTATCACAGTAGATCCTGTTCATTGTTAACCACGTGAATTTCCCTCACCTGTCACCTGGTGAGCACGCTTACTGCACAGCCAGCACCTGACTGGCCCCTCGTAGACTCTCCCAGTTCCACCACATCCGAGTAACCTTTCCTACGCCCAGAATCGAAACCCATGACTTACGCTTTGTTGCCACAGACTGTTAGACGGGCGCAGGATCTGTATCCAATCGTCACGACCAGGGACCGATACAAGTGCCACTCTTCTTCGGCCTGCTCTGACGGGGACCGTGGTGAAGACACCCCAGGAAGCGGCCCGTTCGTCTCGCCTTGCAGGTGGCGTGCTCACGCGGCTGGTGTGTCCCAGTTTTAAGGGGGGATGTCAGGAAATCCCTGGAACACGGATCTCATCAGTGGCCCCTGCCGTTGATTCCCAGGTGTCCGGAGGTGTTTTAATCACTTCTCGCGCGATGCTCGCCCCCAGGTTCGCTGCCGTTCCAGCGCGCCTGATGCCCGTGAGTGGGAGGGAGGTACGGGGGTGGCGCACTGCGGCGGCTGTGGGTCAGCGCCTGCAGAAGCTGAGCTCTTGCCCTCGTTTTCCTGCGGAGGCTGACAAACCGCAATCCATCAGCGTCGCTCCGGAACGGCCCCCGAGCTGTTGCTTTCAGACATCCCCCGTCGTGATCTGACACACCTGTCGCTCGGGGAGCCGGGGGGGCCCGTCCGCTCGCCGGGGGAGACAGGGGCCCCGAGAGACGACGCTGCCCCGATCACAGGGTCTGCGATCCCACACGCCAGCCAGGGGATCTTCTAGGCCTCAACCTCAAGAGCAGGACTCGGCCTTCCCAGGCGTTTTCCAGACTCTGAAGGGGCCAAGGCGAGCAGTGCTAAGACAGCGATAGAACGCGCAGGACAGAGATTTGTACAGGGTTCTTTTGGCTACAGAAAATGGATGCCTTTGTCTGTGGTATGGCTGCGAAAAAGAAAGAAATGGGGTAGTTTCTTCGAAAGTGGGGGGCGTACTGTAGGAGGGTAGGGCTGATACTTGTCATTTCCATAGGTCTGTTAATTTAATAGTTAAACAAGGTCTAGATCTTGAGAGTGAGAACAGAGAACAGGAAAGGAGAGCCGTGTGTTTATCGTTCTTTTTTATATTTATGCACTTGTTAAAATGTGTACCTCGCTGCTTTTAGATGCACTGTGTGTCGTCCCTGTTGGAAATCAAACTCTTGCCCAGAACATTGCATTGTGTGGAATTCAGTCCTCGCAAAGAAACAAAACACTCCTGAAGCACAGGTCTGCACAGAGAGGAACACATGCCAGGCCTCAAGTCTCAGAAGAGCACTGGGGCCTGGTGCACTAGATGAGCTTGTTAGAAAGAGTTTCCTGTAAAGATCCAGTAGAAAAATACTCCAACTGAAACAATGAGAAAACTTATTTTGGGTACAGAGTGCCAATACATATGCCTGCAGCTTTAAATATGCTGTTGTGACTGATATTTTTATAGAGAATTTCTTATGGGAGCGCATTTTGTGGCCCAGAATGAAGGTTTGCGATCTGTCCGGCTCAGGTGACTGGTGGGAAAAGCTGCAGACGAGATGCCGTTCAGCTCATGTAGCTTCTGTTTTTTAAGAGCTAATCCTCCAGCCTGTTCTTGAAAGAAGTCAGGCTATTGGCTTATGCATGAAAGCCCCAGCCCTGTATACAGATGTACGTGTGCAAAGGAAAGGGTTTACTCTCCTGATTAAAGACTGCGCCAAGGACACGAGCTGGGCCCTTCAGTCAGCGCGCTGGGGGGCCTCGGGAGACTCTTTCCTGAGAGGCTGTTGTCCAGAGAGGCCGTTGTCTGGACAGGCCGGGTTCCCCCTCATCCTCAGTGATCAGGCTCCTACCCACAGTTCCTTTTCCCCTCTCTGCTGGGTGTAATTTGGCCCCTCTGGGCAGGCACACAGCTATGACATAACTTCCCGCCGATCGGTACAGTAGGATAATTTTAGCGGATGGGAATGTACAGTAGCTGCCCTGCTAATGGGCCGCGCTGAGTGTGGAGGCATGTGCTGGCCGGGGGCCGGGAGTCTGAGGCTCTGAGAGACTGGCGAGAGAGGAGCGTGTTCCTGTCATCAAGCCCTGGCTGCCCTGTGCTGCCCTGGCTGCCCTGCGAGTTTCGACTGCTTGCGACTTGCGGTCGTCGGGGTGCCGAGGTCCTGCACTGGGCAGCGTGCCTGTGGCAGACCACCGCGACGACTTTTTTAAAAGGCGGATTTTGTTTTTGCGTCGTACCATCTTCAGGCGGAGCAAGGGCGTCTGGCTCCCGACAGGAAGGTCCCGGGTTCACTCCCAGGTACACCGCTTGCTCTAATTCCTTCCAGACGGCTCCCAGGTCCACTCAGCCTGCTTTCCCAATGAGTGCCGGGGGTTAATCCATCCGGGGGTAACAGGCTGCCCGCAGCGTGGTGCTGACCCCATCACCTCCACCTCCAAGAAATATGGTCCCCCTTGCCCCCCATCCCCCCATGAGCCTTGATGGCCTGAAAAGGGACCTACCCACCTGTTATCTCCAGGCCCACTGGGAGTCTGCTCTTGTGTTGGGTGGGGGAATGGCATCCTAGCCAGCCTGTGACCCCGCCACGGGCAGCCAGGAGAGAAGGGGCTCGTCTGTGTCCGGGTGGGAGTGTGTCCGTGTCTGTGCGGGACTGTCCCGGGTGTATCCTGCCTTGGGCCCGTTGCCCGCTGGGATAGGCTCCGGCTCCCTGTGTCCCCGAATTGGATGAGGCATGCCTGGAACTAGACCTGCGGACCTGAAGTCTCCTGGCGGGTCTGGACTCCGGCAGCCGCGAGCGCCTGGAGCTGGTCTCCCACGCGCGCTCCTTTGTCCCCCTCCCCCCCCGGCTCCTCCCCCCTGCTCCAGCTGTTTTTGTCTCCCTTGCCCCGTTGCCCTTCCCCGCTCGTACCTCTTTTGTCTCTCCCTCCCCTCCCCTCCGCTGCGGCGGAAAGGAAGATTAGCCTGGCACACGGCGCAATTAGCTTAAACACCCCTCACTCCGGCGCGCAAGCTCCTAACAGGCAGTTAACCCCGTTCAGGAGAACGTGTCTCCCTTCAATGGGATTGCGATTCCATGAGAGCCTCCGTGAGCTGATTTGATTACTCCGGCTCCGCCAGCCGGCCGCTGTCAGGACGCCCAGCGGAAAGACAAGCTGTGCAAATCCAGTTAAGGAGACACGAGGACCCGCGTCCTGAAACGGGTGTCACTGCCTCTGTGGAGGGATTATCCTGGTTTGGGCACGAGTCCCCCCCGGATTAACACGCTGTCGTGCGTTCAGGGGCCCCCCTGCTCAATGGGAGGGGGAGTTAAGGGGTGCTGTGTGGGGAGACGCTGAGAGAGGCCATGCACTGGCGGGCTGGTGTCCACTTTTCCTTCTCGGGAGGGGCTGGCCTGAAGGTCGGGGCTGGGTCTCGCGGTCCAGGCCGGCCGAGCTCGGCAACAGACTGATCCGTCAGGCCCCTCCTCCCTGCTGCTGTGGAGGCCGTCGGGAGCGGAGAGCGTTGTTTTTCGGAGTGGGGAAGAGGCGTCACGGACCAGGTCACGTTCCCATGAGAAACAGCATCGCAGGCAACGTGGCTCATTTTAGCCCATCCCGCTCCTCACTCTCGACAGGAGCCAAACCAGCCGAGGATGTGAAGGGCGTGTTGTGGTGGCGCTGGGGGTACTTGAAAGGTAGTTTCTGTCGCTAACTCGGCTGTGCGGGGCAGGCTCTCCAGGCTCTGGGGCCGCCCGCTCTGTGACTGGTGTGGATATTCCCAGGCAGAGCTCTGAGGCGCGAGAGAGCGCCCCCTCGACTCTGCGTCAGGAGAACGCTCTCCCTCTGACTGGGATTGCTCAGCAGTCTGGTGCCCTGCTGTTGCCCCGCCTCCAGAGGGCGTATGTGAGCCAACTTCCTTGCCCAGGTTCGGCTGCTGCATGTTTCCCCAGCCTCCAAGGACGCCCGGACATCGCCGGGCCGAAGCCCGAGTGGCCGGGATGGGTCTCGTGCTGGAGGGCTCCTGTCCAACCGGAACGCGCTTGGCGTGCTCTCGGTGGGCACAGCCCCACAGGAAGCAGTGTCCGCGCAGGTCTGCTGCTGTGCTGTTCGTTCAGTCACCTCAGGACGTTCAGCTCTGCAGTGAGACAGCACCCGTCCCCAGTCAGTCAGTCTCTGAATCCTTCGAAACTGTCAACAGAAATACTTAACTTTCCGTGTAGCAATTTACTGGTCGGCTCTGGAAACCTCACCTCAGAAAATTCCTTTTTGTCTTATTTAGCGCCCGTTTATATCTATTAAGAAAGGGGGTGTTGCTCATTCCCCGAGTGGCGAGGTTAGTTCTTGTTGGCCACGCTGCTGTGTCTTCTGAACAGGGACGTACTGACGTCGCTCGGCCCCAGATGCCTGTGTGTCTTGCATTGCTCTTGTTCACACAGACTGCGTGACAAAGCAGGTCCAGGAGTGTCACAGAACGTTGTCCGTCAGAAATAAGGTCATGCGGGGGGCAGTGGATCTTGTCAGCGTACAAGTAGAAAGAGGTATCAGGCCTTGTTCTGGATTTCGCACTGCATGGACTCCGCTGACGGTGTCCTGTGAAAGTTGAAAGTATCCTGGGTGTTTAAATCTTATTTGTGACTCATCGATTCTGCAAGTGACTGAGTCCGTGTTCCCTAGAGCTGACAGATGGCTTTTCTCACTAGAATTTTAGCGTATTGATTTCTCCTTCCGGTAAGGGTGGCTGATTGTGTTTTTAAATTAGGTTTGTCGATTTTGCGTGAATATGCAAGGATC